GTAAGGTTGCACGAGTAACTCTAATCCATGAACCGCACTGCCAAACCCTGTCCTCTTTCTGTTTGGGCAAGGGTTGTAATTTCTCCAAAACTAAAAGATTGTTACCCAAGTATAACTGACCACTTACTCACTGCTAAAGCCATATATGTGACAGAATTTTTCCTAAATCTACTCAGAAATCAAGTTGGAATTTTTACTTTTAGTTAAGATGTAGAAAATAAAAATTTTATTCCCTCTGAAACAACTAGAAAACAACTAGAATTTCTTAATAGAGCATAAATTAAATACACACACTTTTCCTCAAAGACATTTGATAGTTGTGGACGCAAAGGAGGGGTGAGTGCTCTCTAGGTGATAACAGAGAATGCATTCACAACGGGGGCCAATTGCTGAGGCTTGGGACAGATCAGGTAGAGAATTGAGCTTGTCAGAGAATTCTGCTCAGAAGTAAATTTCCCAAAATGTTGACAAGCCTGCAAACTTGTGTTTCAAATTTGAATCTAAAGGAGACTCAAATGCAAAGGCAAATCTCCATAATGAGGAATTCCTTTACAGGCAACTTTTACTGAGTAAGCAGAGACTGAGAACACAGCTGGAAAGCAGAAAGAGATCTGCAGTCTCAGTTTCCAATTTCAATGCCTGATAATGCCGGTGCCACGGCCTTGCAGTCTTGCGGTCTCCCAGTATCATGGTGATACCACACTCCTGCAGTCTTACTGCCTGCTCTTTTGCAGTTTCACAGCCTTTTCATTTTTTCTGAATCTCATGGTCTTGTGCCCTTAAAATGTTATGGGCTTGCAGACCTGCTATCTCTTAGTCTCAATGTAGCCAGTTCACGATCTAGGAAACTTGCACTCCACTGAAAAAAGCCTTTAAGTCACCTTCAAGCATTTGAAGCCAGAGGTGAAGTGAGACTACCTAAAACTGCAACAGTACCCCTCGTTAAAGCAATTTCTGCTAAGAACAAAGGTATCTGTCCCTTGGTGGCCTCAAAAATTTGGAGTGAAGCCAGAGGTGAAATAAGACTTTCGGAAGCTGCAGCAGTACCTCTACTTAATGCAATTTCTGCTAAGAAGAAAGATGTCTGTCCTTTGGTGATCCCCAAAATTTGGAGTTATTGCTTACTGATGATTAAATACTAAAGTCCTAAGAGAGTGATTAAAGATATTATATCCCTAATAACCTCAAAATCTGCTGCTTACCTTTTATTTTTTTAATATTAAAACAACCACAATAGGGCCTGGCGCGGTGGCTCACACCTGTAATCTCAGCACTTTGGGAGGCCGAGGCGGGCGGATCACGAGGTCAAGAGATTGAGACTATCCTGGCCAACACAGTGAAATCCCGTCTCTACTAAAAGTACAAAAAAATTAGCTAGCCTTGGTGGCACACGCCTGTGGTTCCAGCTACTTGGGAGGCTGAGGTGGAAGAATCGCTTGAACCCAGGAGGCAGAGGTTGCAGTGAGTCGAGATTGAGCCACTGCACTCCAGCCTGGTGACAGAGCAAGACTCCGTCTCAAAAAAAAAACAAAAAAACAAAAAACCACAACTATAAAATGTATGATGATATAAAATTACTATGATATGAGAAGCTAAAGGCCCCTGTAGTCCCCACCCCTCCCTTCCTCCTTTCCAGGAGGTTGACAGTGGAAGCATGGCATGCAATCTTGAGGGGAGTAAATACCTCCTGCACAGCAGCTTGCAGAAGGAAATATCCAGCTCTGTGGAAGGAGTTAGGACAGAGGGTTCAGCATAGAGAGAGGCCAAAGCCCCTCACCCCGTCTCTGCAGCCCAAGAGTGAGTCCTGCTAGTCAGGCCTGATAAGGGATGCCCCATCTCAGCCACAGGCAGCCAGGCCTTAAGTCCAAGAGCCTGAGCTCAGGAGCAGGCCACCTCTGGGTTCCCTTGGAAAGGAGAAAGGAGAGAGGAGCATAAAGTCAAAGTGTAGCTGGGAAGGGCCTAACAGTGAGCTCCATCACTCCAGCTTGAGAGTGTTCCAAGCCGAGAGCCGCCTTCCTGGGAAACCTCATAAGCCATCTCTACTGTTTCAGAAGGCAGGGAAGAAAGGTGGCCACAATTTTTTTGTTTATTTTCTTTGTTGATTTTTTATAAAATCTACTTTGGGTGGAAAACTAGGTGCAACTGTAGTGTTCAAGGAGTGGTCTATCTTTTCTCACTCCACTTTCCTTTCTTTTGCCTCCTATAAGTGAGAAGAAGGAAAAGTAGATTTCTGGGCAGGTAAAGAATAGAGGGACTCAACATACTCTGAGTAACCATGCCTGCGCCAATAAGTCTAGGAAGCTAAACTATAACCTCTGCAAGTAATTGGCCTAGAAAAGTCGGAACTTGGTCAATAACTGCCAGTTCTCTAATTTTTTGCTCTTACGTCCTCAAACCCTTTGCAACTTAAGCCAACCAGAAAAAAGCCAAGTATGCTCCACATACCAATCACATAAGAAGCCCCCAGGTTCCTCATGCCAACAGCTTCCAGTGAGTCCTGAAGCCTTCCTCTTTTATTATAAAGCTTTCCCACTGCCCTGCCTACATTAGAATCTCTGCCAAAGGCAAGTGATGGGGTCTGACTCCCTTTCTCTAGCAAACTTTGAATAGGTAGCCTGTTTTCATTTGCACTACGTTTATTTCTACAAAACTATTTTCTCTCCTTCACAAACATGAAAGGAGGAGAGAAGTACCCCTGAGGAACCCTATCTATTCAGTCCATAAAGTTTCTCCCAGTTAGGGTCTGAGAGGCAGGCTTAAGAGCTATACCAGCTGCCCCCTCCTCTTGTCTCCCAGGAGGATCCTGGAAGGCTTTTAAAGATCCCACTTTTTTTCAGTGCCATGAAAATCCTGCATACCTGGTTTAATTTAACTCTCTGCAGAGAGATCACCAAGGCAGTTTACACACCTCCATCTTCCACTGCATGAAGTGCCTTTAGCCCAGCGAGCTCTGCATGCAAAATGGCACATACTCCTTGAACAGATCGCACACTGCTGTTTACTTACTGCAGCTTCTCCACCTTACACATTATCTCCTAAGCTCTGTGGTGCTCATGATCTTCATTCTCCATGAAAAGTGTGGTGGACACATTTTGGCCTCCAGAAAATCTTTTTCTTTTTCATTGCCTTCACTGCCCACCACATAAGACCATATATCCTTTTGGTCTTTGCTTTCTGGTTATTTCAGGTTGTTTCAAGCAAACCTGAAACTGAGATTTATCTTTTCCTATTTTATTTTTTATTTTACTTTAAGTTCTGGGATGCATGTGCAGAATGTGCAGGTTTGATACACAGGTAAATGTGTGCCATAGTGGTTTGCTGCACCTATCAACATGTCACCTAGTTATTGAGCCCTGCATGCATTAGCTATTAGTCCTGATGTTCTCCCTCCCTTCACACCCCACAACAGGCCCTGGTTTGTGTGGTTCCCCTCCCTGTTTCCATGTGTTTTCATTTTGAAACAGGTTTCTGTGTATGCATTTGAAGGAGAACTTGCTGAAGAAGCTCCCAGTAGCTGCCAGCTGGCCCTACACTGGGGTCACATCCTATGACAAATTCTGCAAGTCATGCATCTATTGGAGTATCTCAGTGAGAATGAAGTTTCCTTTGAACACACTCTAAGAAAGTTGGTTCTGTCAGAAACCACCACTACTGCTAAGGCAGTTTGTAAAGCATAGTCCAAAACCCAGGAACATCCTGGGGCCTTGCATGGTGATAGACAATTATTCTCCTGGGGTCAGGTCTGAGGCCGAATTGTGCTGAATCAAGGCCACCTTAGATTCGTGGTTGCTATGGTCTGAGTGTTTGTGTCCTTCCAAAATTTGTATGTTAAAACTTATATGTTACAACCAATGCAATAGTATTAAGAGATAAGGTCTTTGGAAAGTGATTAGATGATGAGAACTCTGCCTTCATGAACCACACTCATGCCCTTACAAATGAGGCCTGAGGGAGCTTGTTTGCCTCTTTGCCACTTGAGGACACAGTGAGAAGGAGCCATCTATGAGGCAGACAATGAGCCCTCACCAGACACTACATTTACTAGAGCCTTAGTTCTTGGACTTCCCAGTGTCTAGAATTGTGAACAATAAATTTCTGTTGTTTATAATTTACCAAGCCTATGGTATTTGGTTTTAGTAGCCACAATGCACCAAGACGTTGGTGCAGGCTGAGGGGAACTGGGGACACTATGGTGGAAGCAGAAGCCATGGAGACCCAAACCCTGGCACAGTTAGGCAATCTTTGTCATTCTGGAAGGATTACTTACCTCTCCAAAAGTCATAAATTTCTGCTTTGATTTGTGCTTGTGGAGAAACTGCTTTGGGAGGGGTGGAGATGAGGGGGCGGTTTCTTCCTCTTCAGATCATGGAGGGGCCTGGCAGACACGCTGCCCATGCTACTGGTCTTCTTCCCTGACTCCTGGTCCTCCACAGGCCACTGATTTTCTGCATTGCTAATCTGAGTACTCTGGGAGTGAGAATTAAAGGTGGAAATTGGCAAGCTTTCTGGAACTCAGCTGTATAAGGTTGGCAGAGCTGCTATGCTGTACTCTGTAAGATGGAAAGGTACACTGCTATTGCTCAAATCAACTGAAAACTGGGGCTTCAGAATGATGGTGCAGTCCTCCAACTCAGACTACTTGTAGCCGAGGAACAGATAGGCAGCCATCACTTCTTTGTAATCCTGGCTCGTGAGTGAGTCCTGGACCTTTTCCAGTGTGTAACTGCAGGCAATGGCAATTCAGTCCACTGGAGTCCTAATAGTCAGGGGATGGCTCCACATCTGGCTTTAGTTCATTATCTTAATGAGCTACATTTTTCCATCAATCTTTCATGATTTTCTCTAATGTGCATCTTTTGCTGGAATTTAGAAGGATAAATTTCTTGAGCAGGTTTCCATATTCCATGGATATTTATAAGGGGATATGGTATTGAACTCTCAGGTACTTCCTCTCACAGCTCCTTGAATTTCTGTGCATCAGAAGGCAGAGCTCCACTGACCAGTGTATATTTGATGACTCCCAAGCTCTACACATCTGTCTCAAACCCATCATACTTTTGGCTCTGGAAGAGTTTGGGGTAACACAGGAGACTGTCACAGGAGGTATCCAGCTTTGTTGCCAAAGGTGAATTTTCTACTTAAGCCAAAGTCTGAAAATTTGATTTTCACATCAGCATCCAAAAGCAGGTTTTCTATGTTTCCATCTCACTTCTGTTGAGAGTACTCTACATGCCATTATCAAATCTAATAAAATTAATGGTATAATAATATTTTAGTCTATGTTCCAATTTTTCAGTTATCTCAGATGTCTTGCTCTACTTGATGTTTGAGTAAAGGTCCAAACCAGGTATACACATTATTTTTCTGTAACAATATCACCATTCAAATTACATGTTTTACTTGTTATTTTTATAGTCTGTCTCCCTCACTAGAATATCAATTCCATGCAAGCAGGAAATTGTTTTGTTGTTTATTCTATTTTGTATTTATTATATTATCCTATTTTGTTGTTTATGTCTATTCTTCAGCACCTAGTACAGTTCCCGAAACAGAATAGGCATTCAAGAAGCATGTGTAGAATGAATGAGTTGATGAATTAATGAATAGATACAGTTGACAACATGAGAGTGATAGCCCTGGAAGGTATGCTGTGTCAACACGGTAAAATCTGTTGCTTCCTTAGAAGTTCTGAAACACTGAGCAATTTTTCTTAGCCTCAATTTTCTCACATGTAACATGGAATAATAACTCCAACTTTTCAGGGTTGTTCCAAGAATTAAAATATGCATATGCTACCTGTCATAAATTTCATGTACCTGTGGGTTGTGTCTGTGTGTCTGCAATATTTGTCAGATTTTGTTGTTAATTTTATATTAAAATAGTTTTGTAATTTTGAAGGTTTTCTTTTTGTACTCTGGACTACCTAAACAGCTCTAGAATGATCTGATCTTTAAAGACTTCATAGAATTCCCTTCTGAAACTATCTGGACATGGTAGTTTTTAATTCTGATTTATTTATTTTTATTTGAGGAGGACAGATATGGTAGTTTTTATTTTTATTTGTTGGGGAGTTACTTTATATTTTCTTTTTAAAAAAATTATTATACTTTAAGTTCTGGGGTACATGTACAGAATGTGCAGGTTTGTTGCATGGGTATACCCATGCCATAGTGGTGGCTGCATTACCTGGTCATCTACATTAGGTATTTATCCTAATGCTATCCCTCCCCAATCCCTCCACCCCCTGCTATCCCTCTCCTAGCCTCCCACCCCCAACAGGCACCAATGTGTGATGTTCCCTGCCCTGTGTCCATGTTTTCTTACTGTTTATCACGCATGTATAAGTGAGAACATGTGGTGTTTGGTTTTATGTTCTTGTACCAGTTTGCTGAGAATGATAGTATTCCATGGCGTATATGTGCCACATTTTCTTTATATAGTCTATCATTGATGGGCATTTGGGTTGGTTCCAACTTTTTCCTATTGCAAACAGTGTCCCAATAAACGTAAGTGTGCATGCGTCTTTATAATAGAATGATTTCTAATCCTTTGGATATATACCCAGTAATGAGATTCCTGGGTCAAATGGCATTCTGTTTGTTTCTAGATCCTTGAGGAATCACTGCACTGTCTTCCACAATGGTTGAACTATTTTACACTCCCACCCACAGTGTAAAAGTGTTCCTATTTCTCCACATTCTCTCCAGCATCTGCTGTCTCCTGATTTTCTAATGATCACCATTCTAACTGGTGTGAGATGGTATCTCAAGATGGTTTTGATCTGCATTTCTCTAATGATTAGTAGTGATGAGCTATTTTCATGTTTGTTGACTGCATAAATGTCTTTTAAAAAGTGTCTGTTCATATCCTTCACACACTTTTTGATGGAGTTGTTTTTTTCTTGTAAATTTGTTTAAGTTCTTTGTAGATTCTGGATATTAGTTTTTTGTTAGATGGGGTATATTGCAAAAATGTTTTCCCATTCTGTTGGTTGCCAGTTCACTCTAAAGATACTTTTTTTTGCTTTGCAGAAGCTCTTAAGTTTAATTATATTCCATTTGTCTATTTTGACTTTCGTTGCCATTGCTTTTGGTATTTTAGCTATGAAGTCCTTGCCCATGTCTGTGTCCTGAATGGTATTGCCTAGGTTTTCTTCTAGAGATTTTATGGTGTTAGGCCTCATGTTTAAATCATTAATCCATCTGGAAATAATTTTTGTATGAGGTGTAAGAAAGGGATCCAGTTACAGCTTTCTGCATATGGCTAGCCAGTTTTCCCAACACCATTTGTTAAATAGGAAATCCTTTCCCCATTGCTTGTTTTTGTCAGGTTTGTCAAAGATCAAATGGTTATAGTTTTGTGACATTCTTTCTAAGGTCTTTGTTCTGTACCATTGGTCTATATTTCTGTGTGGTACCAGTATCATGCTGTTTTGATTACAGTAGCCTTGTAATATAGTTTGAAGTCAGGTAGCCTGATGCCTCCAGCTTTGTTTTTATTTATTTTTTTGTTTTGTTTTTGTTTAGGATTGTCTTGGTTATATGGGCAGTTTTTTGGTTCCATTTGAAGTTTAAGGCATTTTTTTCCAGTTCTGTGAAGAAAGTCATTGGTAACTTGATGGGGATAGCATTGAATCTATAAATTACTTTGGGCATTATAGCCTTTTTCATGATATTGATTCTTCCTAACCATGAACATGGAATGTTTGTCCGTCTGATTCTGTCCTTTCTTATTTCCTAGAGCAGTGGTTTGTAGTTCTCCTTGAAGAGGTCCTTCACATCCCTTGTTAGTTGTATTCCTAGGTATTTAATTCTCTTTGTAGCATTTGTGAATGAGAGCTCACTCATAATTTGGCTCTCTGTTTGTCTATTTTTGGTGTATAGGATTACTTGTAATTTTTGCACATTGATTTTGCATCCTGAGACTTTGGTGAATTTGCTTATCAGATTAAGGAGATTTGGGGCTGAGATGATGGGGTTTTCTAAACATACAATAATGTCATCTGCAATCAGGGACAATTTGATATCCTCTCTTCCTATTCAAATACGCTTTATTTCTTTTTCTTGCCTGATGGCCCTAGCCAGAACTTCCCATACTGTGTTGAATGGGAGTGGTGAGAGAGGGCATCCTTGTCTTGTGCCAGTTTTCAAAGGGAATGCTTCCAGTTTTTGTCCATTCAGTATGGTATTGGCTGTGGGTTTGTCATAAATAGTTCTTCTTATTTTGAGATGGGATCCATCAATACCTAGTTTATTGGGAGTTTTTAGCATAAAGGGCTGTTGAATTTTGTAGAAGGCCTTCTCTACCTCTATTAAGATAATCATGTGGTTTTTGCCTTTCATTCTATTTATGTGATGGATTATGTTTATAGATAGATTTGCAGATGTTGAACCAGCCTTGCATCCCTGGGATGAAGCCAAATTGATCATGATGAATAAGCTTTTGATGTGCTGTTGGATTTGGTTTGCCAGTATTTTTTTTTTTTTTTGAAGATTTTTACGTCAATATTCGTCATGGATATTGACCTGAAATTTTCTTTTTTAGTTGCATCTCTGCCAGGTTTTGATATCAGGATGATGTTGGTCTCATAAAATGAGTTAGGGAGGATTCCCTTTTTTTGTATTGTTTGTATAGTTTCAAAGGGAATGTTACCAGTTCCTCTTTGTACCTCTGGTAGAATTCAGCTATGAACCCATCTGGTCCTGGCCTTTTTTGGTTGGTAGGCTATTAATTGCTGCCTCAACTTAAGATCTTTTTATTGGTCTATTCAGGAATTCAGTTTATTTCTGGTTTAGTCTTGGGAGGGTGTACATGTCCAAGAATTTATCCATTTCTTCTAGATTTACTGGTTTATGTGCATAGAGTTGTTTGTAGTAATCTCTGATAGTAGTTTGTATATCTGGAATTGGTGGTCATATCCCCTTCATCATTTTTTTATTGCCTCTATTTGAATCTGCTCTCTTTTTATTAGTCTGGCTAGTTAGTGGTTTATCTATTTTGTTGATCTTTTAAAAAAATCTCCTGTATTTATTGATTTTTTGATGGTTTTTTTCTGTCTCTAGCTCCTTCAGTTCTGCTTTGATCTTAGCTATTACTTGCCTTTGGCTATTGAATTTGTTTGATCTTGTTCCTTTAGTACTTGTAGTCGTGACATTAGAGTGTCAATTTTATATCTTTCCTGGCTTCTCTGGTGGGCATTTAGTGCTATAAATTTCACTCTAGACACTGCTTTAAGTGTGTCCCAGAGACTCTGGTACGTTGTGTCTTTGTTCTTAATGGTTTCAAAGATCATCTTTGTTTCTGCCTTCATTTCATTATTTATCCAGTAATCATTCAGGAGCAGGTTGTGCAGTTTCCATGTAGTTGTTCAGTTTTGAGTGAGTGTCTTTATCCTGAGTTCTAATTTGATTGCACTGTAGTCTCAGAGACTGTTTGTTATGATTTCCATTCTTTTCATTTGCTGAGGAATGTTTTGCCTCCAATTATGTGATCTATTTTAGGATAAGTGTGATGTGGTGCTGAGAAGAATGTATATTCTGTGGTTTTGGTGTGGAGAGTTCTGTAGATGTCTATTAGGCCCGCTTGGTCCAGATGTGAGTTCAAGTCCTGGATATCCTTATTCATTTTCTGTCTCATTGATCTGTCTAGTATTGATAGTGTGGTGTTAACATCTCCCACTGTTATTGTGTGGAGTCTAAGTGTTTTTGCAGATCATTAAGAACTTGTTTTATGTATCTGGATGCTCCTGTCTTGGGTGTATATATATTTAGGATAGTTAGCTCTTCTCATTGCATGAATCCCTTTACCATTATGTACTGCCCTTCCTTGTCTCTTTTGCTCTTTGTTGGTTTAAAGTCTGTTTTATCAGGTACTAAGATTGCAACCCCTGCTTTTTTTTTGCTCTGCATTTGTTTGGTAAATCTTCTTCCAACTCTTTTTTTTGAGCCTATGTGTGTGTCTGAACATGAGATGGGTTTCCTGAATACAGCACACCAATGAGTTGACTTTTTATCCAATTTGCCAGTCTGTGTCTTTTGATTGGGGCATTTAGCCCATTTACATTTAAGGTTAATATTGTTATGTGTGAATTTGGTCCTGCCATTTTGATGCTAGCTGGTTGTTTTGTCCATTAGTTGATGCAGTTTCTTCATAGTGTCGATGATCTTTACAGTTTAGTATGTTTTGCAGTGACTGGTACTGGTTGTTCCTTTCCATGTTTAGTGCTTCCTTCAGGAGCT